GGGTCTTTGAACTGGTGCCGAGCTCCTCTGCTGGATAGATAAGAGAATTTGGGTACTCGGTTTCGCCCATTCTCTTAAGAGTTGAGATAATAATACAGATACAGATAATAACAATTGATTGCTTCAACACTTAGTGAATATAGATAATACACAAATTTTAAAGAAGCTAATATAGATAATATAGTTTTCTCAGGGCTTAAGAGGAGATGAGTGTACTCGCTTTCTCGGTGAATAAAAATTAAATTTTGTGTTGTGAAAATAATAATAATAAACAATTCTGTTGCCAAATATGCCCTATCTTATAACAATCAGAATGTTACTTAAATATCTTTTATAACAGTCAAAGATTCTCGTTCGGATTTGTCACACAAGATGTGTATAATGGACAAAGAATGGGGTTCGATGATAACGTGATGTTCCCTCCTCATGGTAGTAAGGAGACCTGTGGCTGGCAAATAATACATCACCGAGGCTTAGACCAAAATGGGTTCCCTCGAGGAACAAATCGTACTAGTAGTTTATACAGATAGATGTATACGTTATATAGATAGATGTACTAACACTTTACTTGGATTAAAATTAGAATCTCATGTCCCGGGGAGTCTGGCCACTGAGAGAGCACTCAGCAACCCGAATAACAATGTATATTGTACCATCCGATGACTGGCCTTTTGGTTTACGAGGCAACGACTGCAAAGCCTCCAATCGTTTCGGTGGCCCAAGTGCTGTGTTGAAGGGGCTCGAGGCCACTCGACAACTCCAAATAACTGCTGTTTTTATTTCTTTGGAGCTTGTCAACACGGTCAAAGGAATTACTCCTATTCTCTACACCCTAAAGAATTATTTTCATGACATCTCTTGTTGTTTGACATTATTTTGTAAGTCATTCCTGACCAATTTTGGAGGATCTTATATCTCCAGATTTTTTTCTTTCTTTCTGCCACATATGTTTTGTATTATAGTGTTTGTAACTCAGTGTCAAGTTAATAGAATCTCCTAAAAATAAAATAAAATAAGGCACTGTACCTTGAAATTCTCATGAGATAACACATTGCAGTGAGTTCCCTTTTTCTCTCTCTCTCTCTCTCTCTCTCTCTCTCTCTCTGTCTGTCTCTCGTGGGACATTTGGAGTCAGGACTTTGGGTAGAGTGCAAGGTGGACAAGGTTTTTTCTTGAATGGAAGAGAGGGCATTTGGTCGGAGGGAGGTCAGGTTGCTTGGGTGGAGCAAGTCTCTCTTCGTTTGGTCTGCATGTTGCCGTCTCTTTAGCCCCCACCTCACCACCTGCCACAACAGTTTCACGTGCCTGACTTTATATCGGACTGCCCTCACGAGATAGTGCATCTCCTGGGCACATCGGCGTTCCTCTGGTTCGGTCAGTTCTTCAAACTCTCCTCCTCGCTGCATTTACTTTTCTTATTCTCATGTTGGTTTAAAGAGTAGTAGTGCCTGTTGTAAATATAGGCAGGAATATGTCTAGGGGGGCTTTCTGGTGGTGTTGATCTTCCTATTTTCAGTTCTTCATAGTCTCCTTGTAAGATTCTTCCTATTTTCCATTGTCCTGGATCTTGTGTGGGGATTCCCTCCCTTGTTTTCACGTACCTAGACTTTTTTTTGTTTTTGGGTCTTACCGCATCATGTTCCACAGTCAAAATTTGTAGTTGAAGCTTTGTGATTTCTTTGTGAATGGAAATAAATCTGGGGTTGGAATGCTTTTAGATCTTCTTCTGTGCTCCTGGTTGGATTGGGTCTAGTGTTGCCTCTCGTTTTCCTGGTTTTCCGACTATGGGATTTGGAATAATGTGATGGTTTCAATTATATTTGTATCTTCTAGTCTATAATTCACCCTAGCATTATTTATTTGTTTATAATGGCCAAAAGAAGGATGTTTATGTTGCTTTCGTGTGCTTGGCTTATGGGATGCAGAAGATATTTTTGGTTGACGCAGTCAGTCTGTTCTTGTTACTTCATCACCGTACATAGTTCTCTAGCTTTTATGGATCGGATTAATTCACTTTGTGGGCTTGCTGTTCCTGTGTGACTCCATGTATCATTTTGCTTTGCTTCCCCCTTTGGAATGTGAATGATATACAAAACCATTACATTGTCGTTGGTTTCACCAATCGATGGCTGCTTTTATCGATCTAATTTTCAATGGATTTCATGTTTTATGTGTTCTTTGAGTTTAGAATGTTTTCTACTGCAAAGACAGCTTTAGCAGTACAACCTGCTTTTTCGGTTGGTTATTTAGTATAATATCTATCATCTACTGTATGGAATAACAGTACCACCATGCTGATTAGATTAATATATAGAAAAGCTTTGTTCTCACAAGATAGATAGATAGATAGATAGATATATAGATAGATAGATAGATAGATAGATAGATAGATAGATAGATAGAGATTATGCTGTGATCCAGTATCATATAATTAAAAGTGGAATTTGTCTACATATGTTTGCTTATTCTGATCACACTTCTTGCACATTGATATTATTACAGGAAGTGAAGAAAATTTAGATAAATGGGTCCTGTTGCGATCTTTTGTGCCAGTATTCTACTAGCTCTGTCGATGCCTTCTTCTACGAGCGCACAAACTCCACCAGCTCCATTCTTACCTCCATCTCCATCACCTGCCCCACGTTTTGTGAACCTCACTGATCTACTCTCGGTTGCTGGCCCTTTCGACACATTCCTCGACTATCTCCTGCAAACCCAAGTCATCGACACGTTTCAGAACCAAGTTAACAACACCAAACAAGGCATCACTGTCTTTGTACCGAAAGATTCGGCTTTTGCATCACTTAAAAAGTCTGACCTTGGCAATCTTACTCGAGACCAACTCAAGACCCTCTTCCTCTACCATGCTTTCCCCAAGTACTACTCGCTATCTGATTTCAAAAACCTGAGCAATTCGAACCCTGTCAGCACGTTCGCCGGTGGGCAGTATACTCTGAATGTCACCGATGCATCTGGGCTTATTCGCATTGTTTCGAATTGGGCAAACCCGAAGATAACCAGCAGCGTCTACTCCACAGCTCCCGTGGCAGTTTATGAGATCGATCGTGTTTTACTTCCATCGGCAATCTTCAGCACCGAACCAGCTCTAGCACCAGCTCCTGAGACCAAAACACCGTCAGACCTGGCTCCAGCCCAAAGCGGAATTGCTTCTGCGCCCAAATCTGCAGAGTCATCGACCGGTGATGCTACTTCATACACCACCGCGTTTCGTCTCATGGATTGCATGGTCTTGATTCTTTCTGCTACTCTGATGCTTATCATGTGAGGCGATTTGCTCTCGAGGAAGGAAGTACTTCGATGTACGACGCTCAGCACATTCACAGCCTTGGCTTTCTTTTGGTTCGTTTGTGATCATTCTTTGAGTGGAGCAGATATTATGTTTAGATGGAGTTTGAGAAATGCATCGTGCTGAGTTTTTTTTTTGGTTATTTCATTTAGTGGTATGGAGGATATTGTGATGCTTTACTTCATTTTCTGAGATGATATGTTTTGAGCTTTGCCTGCACATAAATATAAAGCCACAAGTTTTATTCCTCTCCAAGACATTGTTGGAAGCTTAGCTTACATCCGAAGTATGATATGGCCAATGTCTTTGGGTCACCGCAAAGTTATATTAGTATCAGCCTTATAATTTAGAATAATAGCTTTACATCTATGATTGTGGCTTCTCTACTATGATTGTGCATGATCAAAGCCTATGGAAAATGTTGAATTCATTCTTTGTCATCATGATGCATGCCACTTGTGTAGGAGGAGTAGCCACGAAGGTGATACCAAAAGGGTGTCGAAGCATGCGAACCAAGAAAGACTGTAAAGATTTTTTAGCAATGCTTTTTCTGTGTGTGGATTGAGGGCATAATTGATCCATGTGAAGTGGCGAATGTTCTTTGAATACAGACCGATTTCCCTTTTTTTTTCTATTAAAAATCTAAGCACTCCTAAGAAGGGTCAGGCAGACACACCCCACTGTTTTCCTCGATTGAAAGAACATAAGAAGGGTCAGGCAGCTGGCTAGTGGTTTTTCTAAAGGGAACCATTGATCTATTGACATCATAAGGGTATCCCCATGGCTGCCATGTTTGTGTGCAACTTGTGTGCTCGAAAGGAAGAAGAATTGCAGGCGAAGCAGTGTAGTAAAGCTTGACAACAAGTCGGCAATTGGAATAGCACACACATATCTCTGGTTATATTCAAGATTTCTCTCTCTCTCTCTCCTTTTTTTTTATATTTATCATGCACTGTTCACCTGTTCATCAAATAGGTATATGTATGCCACTCAAAGTTCATAAAGTTACAGTGGAAGGAATGTTTTTCTAATCTTTCACGTGGAAACTGCTCTGACAAGATCTTTAGATAATGTAACCCCTTTTATGAATGTTTTTATTGTGCAGCGTTCGATAAGTAAAAGTTCCTTCTTCCTCTTACTTTATATATATATATATATATATATATATATATATATATATATATATATATATATATATATATATATATATATATTAGAATTTTCTAACTTTGGTATCAGAAGGTTTGCTAAGAGACGCTTGTGGATATTCACCGTTAAGAGTATGGTTCAATATGAAGAATATTCATTATGAACTTTTAACAATTAACTTGGAGTGATTCTTATATTATACAAATATTTGAGTTTGGGATAGGTCAAATTAATTTTTGTTCTCGAGATAAAACATTAATACTATGAATAAACAAGACTCATTATGTATCTTTATTAGAATACGATACATTTCATCTCTCTCTTACTATCGTACTTGAACGATAATCTATCTCGTTACTAAAACAAGGTAATTAATTACTGATATAGGCCCAATTAATATAGTTTTTAACATGAACCTTGATAATATAGGCATAGAAAATAAGTCATCAAAACTCAAGACTTATATAATAGAATAACTAATTGGGTTCCGTTAAGATATTTTAGCCAATAGACTAAGTCCACTACGGAACGATTCCTCGGAGATATCGTTGATGGAGGAAATTAGACCCTCTGCTCTCGCCTATAAAAGGACAGGATCTCTCCGTTGAGGGATTCGAGATCTGTTGAGGGATTCAGTTATTCTCCTCGACTCTCTCCCCAAAACCCTCTCCCCAAATCCATCAATCTGTGTGGGTCATGTGAAAGGATAGAAAGAGAGGAGAAAGGGTCTACTCTCCTTGCACTCATTCAGATTGCGTGCGATTGGATTAAAGACGATTGGATTAAAGACGGTGCTAGCAGCTATTTTAGATTAAAGACGGTGCTTAGTAGATCAACGGGATCTCTGAACATATGACATCAAAAGGTACGCATCGTTTAATTAGATCTATGCATTGATTTCAATCCTGACATATAGGTTATTTCCGTATTATTGACATAGCATAATTACATATCTTTATGCTTACAATTGGTATCAGAGCCCGGTTTTTTTTGAAATCATGCATTAGATCTGTAAATTAATTTACGATGCATAATTACCTTTATCTTCCAAGAACTGCTAAGCAGTAATGGTCACTGTCGAGCTCGCTGCAAATCTGCGGTTACGTCGAGTAGCGTGCGCATCACAGAACCCGTCCCATATGCGGACATCACAGAACCCGTCCCATATGCGGGCATCACATAATCTGTCCTGTACGCGGGCATTACAGAATCCGTCCCGTACGCGGGCATTATAGAACCCGTCCACGCGACGGCATTACAGAACCCGTCCACGCGACGGCATCACAGAACCTGTCCACGCGACCGTGGACGGCATCACATAACCCATCCATGCGACGGCATCATAGAACCCGGTCGCACACGGCCAGAACCCGTCCATGCGACGGTCGGCCGTACGCAGGCAGACAGCCCAGGTGGCGGCCATGCGTGAGTAGGCCGTGCACAGGCGGCGACCGCGTGCTGGCAGGAACCGCCGCAGCGGCCGTGAGCAGTAGCAACCCCGCGGCGGTAGCGCCATGGTGGCAGTGGCCGCGCACAGGCTAGAACTGCCACTGGCAGCCGCGCACAAGCGGTCGGGTCGCAGGCAGCAGCGGTAGCGCCGCTCGCGCAGGCGGCGACAACGATGGAAAATTAGGGTTTTGGTATATTTACGTTTTTGCCCTCGAGGCTAGGGTTTTGAAAAATTACAGTTTTACTCTTTTCAAATATCGTAATTACAGTTTATGTTCTGTCAACATATTTATGGTTTTGCCCTCGGGTCTAATTTCAGCCAAATTACAGTTCTACCATTCGCATATTTTCGATTTATATCCTATCAAATATTTTCGGTTTTTATCATTATGAAATTGAGAAATTTAGGTTATATTCTCAATTATAAAATTA